AAAAGGAAAGGAAAGGAAAGGAAAGGAAAGGAAAGGAAAGGAAAGGAAAGGAAAGGAAAGGAAAGGAAAGGAAAGGGGCCTGCACAAACTAAGGAGAGGGCCCCAACCAAGGAAGGAGTGAGGAGATGTTCCTGACCTTATTGGGTGAAAGAATGTGAAAGGTCCAGCTCTGAAAAGCAGAAATTCCCTTTCTGGGCAGGAACAGCGGAGAGAACCTCCCCCCGTCAGCAGCCTCACTAGGAGACTACCGAAAGCAGGACAAAAGAGACCAGGAGCCAAGCCCTGAGGCAGGAGCACTTTGGTTGGGGGGGGGGTCCCTTAGGGCAGGAAGCCCCTGCCCAGGGCACCCCTCTCCACCCCAGACCCGCCTACCACCACCTTCCCCGGAAAGAGCGTCCGGCAGGCAGAAGAGTCCTGCTCCGGTCTAGGGCTGCGGCTGGGGGCTTAGTAGCAGGAAGGCCTTGGGGGCTGGGTCCCCAAAAGCACTGAGGGGGCAACTCCAGCCCATTCAGATGCATAACTCTGGAAGAAGAAAGTTTCTCTGGAGCAGCTGTGCATGCCAGCATCTGCCTACTGCCCAACGCCAGCCATGGGTTGTTCAGTGATGCTCAACAGCCACCACTGGGTTGGGCTGGCACAACCCGCAACGCTGTAAAGCAGGGTTTGCTACCACAAACACCAGATACACAAAGGTTACAGCACAGCCTTATGGAAACACTGGGGAAGGACAGCACATGAAGTCACAAGTGGGAGTGTGGCTTCTCACTGTTCACCAGAAAAATAAAAGCCAACGTTTCCATTCCTTCAGCTTCTTTCCTCAGCTGGGCCCCCTCCACGCACAGGGGGACTACAGCTCCCAGACTTCCCAGCCGGGAAGGTCACAAAGGTATGATTTGGTTGTGGCTTATGGAGAAAGCACAAAAGGTGGGTTCATGCAACCACAACCAACCAAGCCACAAACCATGATTTATACGCTCACATGACACACTAAGCCAAAATGACATCATGGCTTAGTACAACTCAGCCACAATGTGGGAAGTGCCTCTTTAAGGAGACGTCAGGTGGGGAGCCTGAAAAGATTTCTGCTAGTCAGGAAGGGGGCATTAAAATTGGACCCAACCTTGCAAAACTGAAAAGCGGTATTGGGTATGCAAAATCTGCTCAGACCTCACTTCAACTGAGGCAGTGAAGGAATCCATTTATGCCAAAGTGGAAAGTCCTTCCCTCAACAGAGGTGGGGGCCTCAGACACAACTTGTCCCCCGTTTTCCATGCTGCTCTTTCAATAGTCCCCAGGAAGATTAAGACCGCTTCACAAGGTCACTTAAGGACCCACTTGGGGACGAGTGAGGGACGAGGAGCAAGACATCTACATCTCAAAGACTCTACCATCACTTCTCCTATTGTCCCCTCAATGC